TATAGGTTCTTGACTCTTCCAAGTAATTAATCGTCAAACAAGAAGTTCTTGTATTGTATCTTTACAGATCCTAATTATATGATGTGGTCTTTGCATTGTTATTGTAATAATAAAGCCTAATCACCAAATAAAAGGTCCTTACACTGCTATCACAATGGTGCCTTATCATCAAATCTGAGATACTTGCACTGCTATCGCAGTCTCCGACCCTAATTACTAAACAAAAAAAATCCTTGCATAGTGATCACCATGACGCCTGTACACATGCCTGGATTTTGCATCACTATCATTTAATCATCAGAAGGTTTCCTATACTAGAGCATATTCACAAAACAAGAAGTTCTTGCAGCTATGAAGCTTGAACACCAAACAATATGTCCTTGCATTGCTATCAAAGCCGTGGTGCCTAATCACCAAATGAATTGCCATTGCAATACTATTGCCAATGGTGCCTACTTATGTAATGGGTCCGCCTCATTTCACTGACACTCATTTCTAGGGATGGGACAAATCTATTTGAAAACTGCCAGCCAATAAGATGCACGTATTTGCGTAACTGCAGAGACACTTCAATTTACTATAAAATCATACACCTCGTATCATCCCTAGTGATGTGCCGCGTACAGTACTATACGTATTATACGTACGTACGTATTGTACGTACTGTACGCGAAAAATTTTGCCGATCCTTTCTACCAGCCAATTAAATCGCTAGATACGCACTATACGCACTATACATACTGTACGTACTGTACGTACTGTATGCGAAAAAAATTCGGGTATCATATAAACGGCACATCACTAGGTACTATACCCCTGACCAACACAATATACCCCTCCTACTTTCTTCTTAAGTACACGGGTACATTATAAATATCCAGATTATCAGTTGGAACTTTACGGTAATTTAGTAGTTCTACAATTCTACATGTAATTTCTACAGTTCCACAACGTAGAATTGTAGAACTAATGACAAACTGTAGAATTATTTCTACACATGTGGAATTAATTCCCTTTCATCACTAGCTATAGTCAATGTAAATATATATATTAAAGTTATACTAGAAATTCTTGCATCATTTAGATAGGTAAAATCTATATATATTATGTAAGTTGGCGCCAAACAAGACCATGCATTTAGAGATTTTCATAGCCTATACATTTATGGAAGTTGCAATTAGTGAGATCTGGCTGTACGTGAACTGTTCGATTTTATGGTTGGTTTAGTGTGTTGAGAAAATTTAAATTGAATGGAGTGGGTGCATAAAATATAAACTTACGTGTGTTTGTACTGCAGAGAAAGTAAGTTGTCGGAGAAGTGGGCTGTTAGTGAAATGGCTGTTAGTGAAATGGGTGTCTGGGAAGTAGCTGTTGGGAAAATAGTTTTTTACTAGTAGCTTTCGTTAAAATTGTTACTTTTGTTAAAGTCTAATTTTACCAATTTTACATATTATGAAATAACGTGATTTGATTGGTTATTTACTTGCTGCGCTATAAAAAATTTTGAATTTTTTCTATTTTTGAACCTGGCCAGATATGAAAACAAGTTAGTTTTATTTGTGTCGTCTAATTAAAAAATTTAAAATTTTAATTTTGAATTATTTTATCAAGTTGATCTAAATTTTTAATTTGTTTATTTTTATTTGCTTTTAAATTTTATATTTTAAGATTTATATTACTTTGTTTATTTTTAAAAATTATCTAAAATAAAGTACCAATTTTTTCAAAGTAAGCAAACTTACAATTATAGTTATTTATAAGAATTAATTTATTTGTAGCCAGGCTACTATAGTCACAACTAAAATAACTCTTTTCTTTGTTAATTAGAGTTAAAGTGAGTTAAAGATAGTATGTGGGTGAAAAGGTGTGTTTTATAGTAAAATTTTAGCAAGAAATTTTTTTTTGTTAGAACCCAAAGATTAGTTTCATATGAGTGCCGCCAAGGGAAAACCTGAATCCGGAAAGTACAGATTATTAAAATCATTAGTAATTCATCGTGATGATATTAACCTGTACTTTCCGGATTCAGATTTTCCTTTGGCAGCACTCATATACTCAATTTTGAGTTATAACCGATTTTTGACAATTTGACAAAATAAACGTTTGTTTTAAATTGTCCTGATTGTATTATATTACATCTGATCTTTAAATTTGATTGGCTTTTATGGGATGAGCTACAGCAGCCATGGCTACAAATATATTATTTCTTCAAAATTTTATTAATACTCTAGAAATATTATAGGGTTTTTTCTTTAGCCAAAAATAATTTAAAGTTATTAAAAGATATTACTAATAGATTTGTAGAAACTAAAAAAAAAAATTATTTTAAAAAATACAAACAAAATATGCAAATAATAAAATAAGATATCATATATATAAGTATTATCAAAAAATCTTAATATCTAAAAATAAATTACTTATAAATTCTATAAGTGATCTATTCTTAGATATATAAATTTTTTGTAGCAATATTCATATATAAACAATACATAAGCTGGTCTAGTTGCAATTAATTATGAAATTAATAAAAGTTATTTTAAGGATTTTATTTTTTATCGCCATAGCGATATATCGCTACTCTCTGATATTTAGTTGTCACGTTGCGTAATGTTGGGGTTCAATATTCAACCTCCGGTTATAATTAGTAATATAGATTACCTATAGATTACTAATCATGAGTGGGTTTGAATATTGAAACCCCGACATCACATGAAGCGACAATTAAGTTTTGGGATTTTGGACCCGGGGTAGCGATACATCGCTATAGCGATAAATTACAAAGCCCTTATTTGGATTAGTAGCTTTTCAATTTTTAAAAAAAACTAAAAAATCATCAATTTTAGAGAATTAAATATATAATAAATTTATTCTACTTTTTCAAAAATGATAGTGTATATTATAGGGCATTATTTTTTGGTGCACCCTGCACTCGGTGCACCCCTCTTAATATCTCAAAATTTTACTAGGGTAACCCTGTTGTGTGACTAATAAAAAATGTTTTCCGTAAAGTTTTTACCCTAACCCAAAACTAATCCTAACCCTAAACCTAACTCTAACTTTAATTTAATGCTTATTTCTATTGATTTTGCTGTAGTTTGCTATAGGGTGCACTGTGTGCACCCTGCACAAAATAATAATTTTCTATATTATATAATAAATTTTTTTATCGATTTAGTTTTGTGATTTTATATATTTATTAGTATTTTATTCTGTAAATACACAATATTATGGTCAAGATTGCTAATTGTAGTGTTTTTATTATATAATTCTTTAAATTTTTTATCTAAAACTTTTTTTACTTAGAAAAGAGACTATATAAATTGATTTTAAAGTAAATTTTATAAAATCTCTATCTATATAAAATTTAAAGAATTAATGAATTTGTAACAATAAGTTACTGTAACCATAACTAAGATCAGGTGTAATATGACTGTCAATCCAAATTTTTTTTATAAAAATAAAACTTCACGGTTAAGGTTAAAGTTAGGGTAAGGCTTGTATTGGGGAAAATTTAGCAAGGAATTTTTTTTGTTAGAACGTAAAAGATGGATTTATAGTCAAAATTTGAGTTATTAATAATTTTTTAAAAGAAAAGTTTCTATCTTGATTCCACGTAGCACCTGATTTTAGTTACGGTTACCGAAACCATGGTTACAAATTTATTAACTCTTTGTTAAAAAGGTTAAAAAAATAAAGTAAATTTCTGCTATATTGTTATTTTATATCTAACTATAAATGAATTTGTTGAACAATGCACATTTAGTTATTAGTTGTGAACCATCAAATAACTATTTATTATTGCTCGATCATAAACTTTATTGAATCATTGTAACCGGAAATATACATATGGGAATAGGTTCGCTATCTAACATCAACTTCATGCAATAGTAAAGAAACTATGGTATTGAAATCTAAACAAGTAACATAGCATTAAAAGAGAATCGGAAGAACAGATAGAAAATCAAGCTAATAGGGCCTTGCTGATTCTACTTAAAATTAAAGAAACTCTGTGGTCATTGCACTAACAGCTAGCCGCTGAGCCACCTGAGAAATTTATGCCGTCTTGCACCAATAATCATTGGGCTGCACAATTAAACATCTATAGGGAGGGGGTAGGGTGGGTCGAAAGAGCCAGCCTAGTACTATAAGGCGGGCAATAGCGAAACCAAAACTAATGCACCTTATATTCGCTTGTACTTAAATACTTACCACGGAACAGGTAATTGCCCTAATCTTTACCCGCTTATACGCATAGACTGCACATGCTAATACACAACCTTCACATGAAGGTTCGTGAGAACTTCTCATAACTTACCCCCTTTCATAAGCGATGCACTCAAAAATAACTTTCCATTTCTATTGAACTCATTATACGCGCCCCTACTCTGCATCGCAGACCATAAAAGGAAATACATTTTCCTGCGCTGCACGTGGTGTGAGATCTTCTGATCTCGCAATAATGCTAGCCTTGTCACTTCGTTGACAAGCTAGACAGAAATTAATTTGATATAAATTTATTGATTATTTATTTTTCTGGGATAAACACTCTTATTCACATAAATAATTGGAAGAAAAATAATTAAATAGATATTGTCATATATTTTATACTTATTTATTGTTGTTAAATTAAAATGATATGTGTCATAAATTAAGAAATTACATATAATAGTACAAGATTAAGGTTAGAAATATGGGTGGTGGTGTCAATAGAAAGCAAGAAAATTGTTTTTAAACTTTAAATTAAAATATCTTAACAACTATAAAACCAAACTTAATAAAATATTTTCATTTTAATTCTACATATTTATAGAATTAAAATAAAAAAAAGCTATTTAATTTAGATTAATAGTTGTTAAAAAAAGTTCTTAAAAATAATTTTCTTTGCTTCTATTGGCATCCCAATATAGAAAAATTTCATGAAAAAAGCTTGTACGACGATTTATTAGCAACAAGATATAACAAAACCTAAAAAACTTAAAATTTTAAAAAAAATCCAAGTATTATAAATTTAAGCAACAATAAACCATTTCCGTGATACTGCGAACGTTAATGGGCTCACTTGAATATGTTGTAAATGTCAGATTAACAATAAATGGTTCTTCTCTTTCATTTGTTTCGTAAAATTGTTTTCGCACTTTTTCTTGCTCTGGATCATTAGAGTAACACCAATTGTATATTTTCTCGTAGATAGACGAGGCACTAGGACGTTTCAACGGATCTGAGTCCATGCAACACTTAGCCAACTTGCTGTAGCACTCGGGTGTAGCAGAAGTAAATTCAGGCCGCAATCCCATGCAAATTTTTACTGCAAGATCATTATCAAATTTGGAATCATCAAAAGCTCTTCGCCTATTCGCTATTTCCACCATAAGCACCCCAAAGCTGTAAATGTCCGAAGCTTGGGTGAATAATTCTCCCTGCAAGACCTCCGGTGCGACGTAAGACAAGACACCATATACAATACCGGAATTCTTTATATTAATATTTCTCGACACCCCAAAATCCGAAATAATATGAACAAGTTGACCTTGCAGACCTACCGAAAAATTAATTGCAATTAATTTTTATCATACGTCATACAATTAAAATCAATTAAAATTATCATGAAATTA